TCTCCCTCCTCCTCTCCCTCCTCCTCTCCCTCCTCCTCTCCCTCCTCCTCTACGTTCCCCTTCTCCCCTCTCCTCTCCTCTCCTCCCTCCTCCCTCTCCCCCTCCCTCTGCCTCCCCTTCATCACTTCGACAGGGCGTACAACTGATCAAAGCCAACCACGCAAGCCTGCGACCCATCTACATTTTCGTGTCGCCGCCGTCGTTTTCGACGCTGCGGCAGCGGCTGACGTCGCGGGGCACCGAGAGCGACGAGAGCATCGCCAAGCGGCTGGGCATGGCCGCGTCCGAGCTCGCCTACGCCCGCCAGGCCGGGTCGCACGACTGGATCATTGTCAACGACGACCTCGAACGCGCCTACCAGCTCCTCAAGTCGGCCATCTTTGAGACGCTACAGCCCGGTCAGGACGACCGGATGCCCCCGCCAGAGCAGGAGGAAAACGAGTGGGCGGCCAAGAGAGCCTAGGCCGGGCCGGTTCGGTTCGGATCCAGTCGAGTCAGGTCGAATCGGGTCGTTTGCGAGCAGGTACGCAAAGAGGCACGGCGGCCTCGATAGAATACAGTGGTGGCGGCGTCGAGGCACGGGAGTCAAAGAAGAGAGTGAGTGCGATGCGATGCAAGGGCAGGCGATGGGTCGGCGGACAAGCGCGACGGAGGTTGCGAAGAGGAGCTGGGCTCGGAGCGGGGCCTGGCCTCGGGCTCAGACGGCGATGCTGGCGGTCGTTGGCAAGCGGCTGCCGAGTCGCCGGGCTAGACCGATGATTGAGGCGGCCCGCCGCCGGCTAGCGGCGCTGCTTGTGCTCGTCGGTGAGGGGCACATAGTTGACTCCAAACAGCCTCGTCTGGTGCACGTTGCCGTGGCGGTCCTTGTCGACCTGCCAGACGTCCCTGCGCGGTTGTCGTGGGGAGGGTAGAGGGGGGTTCAAGGCGAGAAGACGGAGGCGGCGTCAGAGGCCATCGTGCGTGGAACATCTTCCGATGCCACGCTGATCGCGACGACGACGACGACGACGAGGACTCACTGGCCGTAGCCCTGGTCGCTGTCGACGGGAATAAACATCCTGCCGGGCGCGTGGAGCTGGTCGACGAGGGCCTGGGGCATCTGGGGCGAGGCTGCTCCGACGTGGATGGCGTCAAAGGGGCCGGCGTCGGGGCGGCCCATCCTTCCGTCTCCCTTGAAGACCTGGATCTCGGCGGCGTCGAGAGCGGCCTTGAGTCCGTCCTTGACGAGGTTGTCCTTGCTCCAGTCGACGAGCTCGCCGATGTGCTCGATGCCGACGACCTTGCCTCGCGTCGCCGCGGTGGCTTCGTCGCCAATGCCCTTGTCGTCGCCGTCGCCAGCGCCGTCGCCAGCGCCGGAGAGACCGCGGGAGCCGGGCGAGACGAGGTGGTGGAAGACGGCGAGGCAGTATCCGCTTCCGGAGCCGACGTCGAGGACCTTGTTGCCCGCGACGAGAAAGGGGGCGAGGTTCTGGAGCGCGTGGGCGTGCATGTGGGGTGCGGATATGGTGGCGCCGTAGCCGATGGGCTGGGGCGTGTCAAAGTAGGCGGTGGAGGGCTGGGATACGTAGTGCGCGCGGTCGACGGAGGCCATTGCGCGTGCGACGGGCGTCGAGGTGATGATGCCCGTCGAGACGAGGTTGGAGACGAGCTCCGAGTTGGTGCGGCCCGACGAGCGCCAGGCCATGGCGGCGGTTGGAGAGTGGGCGGCCGGCGGTAGCAGGGGTGGCCGTTGGCGATGGCGGTGGAGGTGGTAGCAGGGGTGGCCGGTGGCCGGTGGCGGTGGCAGTGGCGGTGGCAGTGGCGGTGGCGGTGCCGATGTCGGTGTCGGTCTCGGTGAGAGACGGGAGGCGGGTCGGGACCAGCGTCGAGTCGAGCGATGGAGCAGAGAGGTCGAGGCTGGACCAGCACAAGCCGAGATGCTCGCTCTGAGTGGGCAGCCCAGCAGGCCAGCCCCGCCAGCCAGCCCGCCAGCCAGCCAGGGTCCAGTCCAGGCGTGGCCTGCACCAACGCACATTTTGCAGAAAGGGCGGAGGGCGCGAAAAATCAGTCTTTCGAGGGCGATGAAGGCGGGCAGGACATCTGATTGGCAGTGCCAGCACTGCGTCAGCGCCCTCCTGTCCTGGCAACGACAGCCGAGGCTGCACCAAGTTCGACGGCGGAAAGCTTAAATCAAACTCGCGTTTTCTTTTCGTCGAGAATTGGTCTGATCCCCCGAGGCGCCGGCTCGGTGACGCTCAGGCCTGCCTGGCGTGCGTGCCAGGGTCCAGCCGTGGGCCCGCCACCCTTAGAGCTGCACGCACGCTGCGCTGCGCCGTGCTGCTCTATCCGTACGTGCCTGCTTGCCTGCTTGCCTTTGCTGGCGGCTTGGCTTCTTGCTTGCTTGCTTCGTCACGGTGGGGCCCTCCCTCGCCAGGCCATGCCAGATTGCATCGGCAAGCGCGGAATGGCGTCCCTGGCCTGGCCTGGCCTCGCCTCGCCTTGGCCTCGTCGGCTTCCTTTCCGCCTCGACCGTCCCTCGTCTCTCTCCTCTCTCCTCTCCTCTCCTCTCCTCTCCTCTCCTCTCCCTACACGCACGGTCGGGACTCTGCGGGCGGGGCGTCCTCCCCCCCATCACATCGCGATCCGACATCCATTGACGCCCCCACCTTCCCCTGTCCGCCTCTCATTCCGCTCCTGGCCGGACATTTCCCTGCCTGGTCGCTCTCGAGGTCGCGGCGGCCGCCGGCCTGGCCAACGCCCCAACGCACGTACTAACCACGTACCGTTCATTGGCTCCCTCGGCCCCGTTTCTTCGCCCCACCGACTACGCTGAGGCTGACCAGCGCTGGTCATTGTTGCATCCCGACGTGTCCCACTCGCCGTTGGCAAGTCTGACCCCTCGGACCTTCCCCTCCGTCCACAGAGCCCCAGGCAGCGCGCTCCCTCGCCCCACACTCTCGCCCTTGCTTCCCTATAAGGCGGCCCTTGGCGCAAGGGGGGACCCCCTCCTCATCCGCAGCATCCTCACTCCTTCTCTGCACACCCCGCGCTCCACGCTCCACGCTCCACGCTCCACGCTCCACGCTCCACGCTCCACGCTCCACGCTCCACGCTCCACGCTCCACGCTCCACGCTCCACGCTCCACGCCACCTGCCCCGCCTCCCCCTTCTCCAGCCCGCAGGCATACATACCTCGCTCGCCATCGGGCCCCTCACCACGTCGCTCATTCCAGACCACCCTCATTTGGCCCGGCCCTCATCCTCGCGGCAGCAGACGCCGCCACCTCCACCAACGTCGCAGCCCGGCCTCTCGATGCGCTTCTTCTGCTCCCTCGTCGCAACCTTCCTCTGCCTCTTCGCCTACACCGACATGGTGTCGCGCGCAGCAGGCATCCATAAGATGCACATCCGACACTCTCGACCCCGTTCCCAGAATCCATTCGTACCTGGCGGACCCGACACGCTGCCCGCCTTTGTCGACGACGACCGCAACCTCAAGCTGCCCGCAGGTGAGAGCCGCAGGCCCGACCGACATGCCTCCCTCGTCCGGCGCACGCCATGCGCCCCCGCTGACTGCTCCTGCTCCCTGCCCTCCCTGGATGCCTCGCCGCCCTCGCAGTCGCGGGCGCAAAGGTCCAACTCTTCGCCTTTCGTCCCCAGTCCGGACTCGAACCCGTCGTGGTGCCCGCCTACGTCGACGAATGGTTTGACGTTGCCGACATCGACAGGATCAGGGACATCAAGCGCGCCGTCGTCCACACTCACGGCCAGAGTACGTCGGTCGTCGATGCCCACTGCCAGCTTGCCACTGCACCTTCGCCCTCCCCTAGTGGCCGATGGACATTTGTGCTGACCACGGACAAACGCCTTTGCCCCATCCGTCTGCGCTCGTCGCTCACCGGACCACGACGCCTGCTGCTGCTCCTCGCATCGCACCTTGTCAACACCAGTCCGCGACGGCTGGGCCGCCTGGAAGGATGCCGCCGACGCGCGCGCAAAGCTCGACGAAGCCACCCAACGCTCGGTCGTCATCGTCGTGCCTCAGTTTGTGAGTGCGGCGGCGATCGCACGCTTCGCCGCCCGCCTCCCCGTCGACGTCCGGATGCTCGTCTCTGACTCCGCCACGAATCTCACCGCTCTCCACCGTTCCCACGCACAGTTCAACGGCTCGGACAAGGACATCTACCACGGAACTGGACCCGGCTCGACGGGCAACCTGCTCGTGTGGGACCTCAACGGCGTGGGTATACTCTCACTCTCATCCCCACGCTCGAGCGTGTGCCCGCGTCCATGGCCGCGAGCTCACGCCAATGACGACCACTGCTTCCCCCGTCTCTGGACCCTTGCCCTTGTCTCCGCTCCAGTGGGGCGAAGGCGCCGTCAACCAGCTGCCCGAGAGCGACACGAGCGTGTCGTCGTTTGAGGTGCTCGACACGCTTGGTCGGTACCTGACCGACCCGGATCTTTTCCCCCGCGTCGAGCACATCACTTACTGTGAGCCTGCCTTCTTGTTTGCCTCGGGGGAGGCGCCTAGAATGCCTCGCATCGCGCTGACGCTGAGCATCCTGCCCCGATCTCGCCCGTCACACCACCCGGGTCGCTCGTCGCAAACGCCAGCGGGCCACTCGGTGCGTCTGGGCCCTGGTCGCCCGCCCTCGACCTTGACCTCGGCATGGGGAAGCTGACCGACCGTCCCCGTACCTTTCCCGGCCCCTTCTCACATTCGTTCTTGGCAACAGCTTGGCGGCCAGCTCACGCACCGCTACTCGATCCTTGGCGACGCCGAGCCTGCGCACGGATCGACGGCCACAGTGTCGTTTGTCACCATCGACCCGGCAACCAGTCTCTACTTCAGCGCCGAAAGGAAGGGCCCTCCCTGTGCCGTGAGTGCTGGGTCTGGGCCAAGTTCTGGGTCTCCTTGCTGCCGCCACCTCCGAGGTATCTGCGTGCTGACCTGGTGCACTGCTGTGCCTTTGGTTGATCTCCGACGCTCGGGCGCGACCGCAACGACGACGACGACGACGACGACGACGGCAGGGCATGAACGAATACAAATGTAGGGAGACGCCCTCGCCTTTCCTATCGCCGTCGATCGCTGCCGCCAGGACGATGCTGACCCTCCTGCGCCCTTCTGTTTCCCACCCACGGAAACTTGCCACCCGCTCCATATCCTCGCAGACGGCTTCGACAAGCTCGACGAGCACTTCCCCACGTACTCGACGGTGCGGGGCGCCCTCAGGGACTTCTATCAGTTCCGCTACCTCAACCAACGCAGCTCCCACCTCATCCACGCCGGCAACGACCACGGCCAGGGCGATTCACGGTGCTGGGCCATGGCTCAGGGTGCGTGCTGAGCCCACAGCGGCGGCGGCGTCGTCGCCACCGCTGTCCTCGACTCCGCTGCTCGATCCTCGCAGGCTGACCGTCTCCTCCGCTCCCGCCGTCTTCCTCGACTGGTGCCATGGCGACCTTGACGTCACGCGCTGCAGGCAAGGACCGCGTCGAGCGCGCCCAGAACTACCACGACCACCTGCGCCAGATCGTCGACACCATGTACCCCTTCCTGCCCAGGCCCCGCGAGCCCCTCGACAACACGACCGATACCAAGGGCCCCTACCAGATCGGCCAGGTCACCGTCGACTGGGTGGCCGGCGTCGCCCACAACGGAGCAGCAATGTGAGTTTGCCAGGACAGCAAGACGCCGGGGGATCGAGTACATTGGCGCCTAGACGATGCTCATCCTGGCCTCTGTCTGTTGCTCCGTCTGCTCCGCCTCGGCCCTGTGCCCTCCTCCTTTCGCCGATCCGTCAGGGTCGGATCCCTACCGGGCAGGCAACGCATCTTCCTCGACAACTGATCCTCGCCGCGCGCCCGACGCCTCGGAGCTACCGGTCGGAACCCTTCTCCGTCGGACTCGAGGGGATCGCCGCCCAGCAAGGCGATCCGGCGATTGCAATGGGCCGACGGGACAGCGGGCCGCCCTGGCAGAAAGTGTGCGACCCTCTCTCTTCCAGGCCGCCGCCACCAGGCCGCCAGTCCTGTCCAGGTCTGCCTGCACTGAGCTGCGACGGCCGTCGGCGGCTCTGAGTGGTCGGCATGCTGAGCCTCGGCCCTGGATGGTCGAGGCCGGCCGGCCGGCTGGCTGGCTGGCTGGCTGGTGGCAGGCCCGGCTATACGCGCCTCTGCCCTGGACAACGGCGACCAAGCCACCGCTACCCCTTGCCATCGCCATCGCCGCCACCCTCGCCGTCCGGCCTGGACGAACGCTTCCCGTCCTCCTCCTCCTCCTCCCCGCCTCCTCCTCCTCCCCCGCCGCCTCCTCCTCCCCCGCCGCCTCCTCCTCCTTCTCCACCACCGCCCATCCTCCTCCTCCTCCGCCCCCCTCCGCCTCCCGACAGGATTTATTTTTGCCCCGTGAGGGGCTAGGGATGAGGAGCCGAGGCTCCCCTATTTGATCATCGCCGAGCTAGCCCGGCGATCATCGTCTTGTCCGCGCATAGACCAGTGGCTGCCGCAGGTCGTCCTTTATGGCCTGCCCCTGTAATCCTATCCCCGACCGTCCTCGCATCCGTTCGCCCTTGAGTTCCATGGCCCACGGGCAGGCTTGGCCCCGTTTGTCCCGGTGGGGCAGCCGTCGTCGTCTCCGCCGGTTTGCGTGCCGTTCTGAAGGAGCGCCTTGCCCCAGCACCGCCTGGAGCAGACGAGGCTAGGTGGTGGCGGCGGTGGTGGCGGCGGCGACCGGTTTGGTCGCCTTGAAGCGGACCACGATGCCGAGCGTAAAGGGCAGCCGGGCGTCGGTGACGGTGAGCTCGTCGCCCTCGTCGACGAGGTCGCGCAGCGGCTTGGCCAGGTTGGGCCGCGTGGCCTCCTCGAGCTGCGGCGGCGCCTGGTAGTAGATGGGCTTGCCGTCGAGCGAGAGCGAGGGCTTGGTGATCTGCCTGTGCGGTCGGTGCGGCGGGCCGATGAGGACAAGACGGGTTAGGAGAGGACAGGAGAGGAGAGGACCAGTGGTCAGGCAACCGGTCGAACATCGTGCGGGGCAGCCGCGACGGGGGCAGCTAGCTGACACTCACAGGTCGGCCAGCTCGCGCAGGCGCTCGACGAGGTCCTCGAGCTTGGCGTCGGCGTCGACGTCGAGGGCGCGGCTCTCGCCGCCGCACACGGGGCAGTCGGGCCGCTTGTCGTGCTCAAACGTGTACGTGTAGACGCTGTCGTTGCCCGTGAACATCATGTAGTTGTTGAGGTAGGGTGCCGCCGTCGTGGCAAACTTGAACGCCTCTTGCACGCACGCCGCTGCGAGGGGGGGCAGTCCAGGCCGGGCGGTCAGGGAGGCAAAGGGTCAGTACATCGATCCGCGTCGCCTCGGTGGGCTGCTGGTGGGCTGCGCCTGACAGGCGGGCTAAGGACCGAGCGCAGCCTGGGATACGAAAGGCACCGAGGACAGGAGCGAGGCCGCGGACCCACCTGCGATGATGGCATTGGTGCTGGCAATGGCCGGGATGATGTTCTTGACGACGCCCTGCGTCAGTGCATACGTGACGCCCGAAATGTCAAATTGCTTGGCGCGCGCGCTCGCGTGCTCGAGCAGCCAGGAAATGTGCTCTGGGTCGTCGTTGTCGAGCTTCTTGTCTGCAGCGGCGGGATGGAGGAAGAAGGGAGGGGAACAGGGGCAGCAGGTCGTCGGCGAGGAGGCGTCAGAGGGACGGAGAGCGGGACTGGCCTCGACCATGCTGGAACCCGTCGCTGCGCCGCCGCGACAAACGCACCTCCAAAGACGCGCGGCCACTCGAGCACGCTGGCCCATTCGATGCAGTGCTCGGGCAAGCGGGGCGTGTTGGCGATGGTGCAGATCGGGTAGGTCGTCTGCTTGTTGAGCATGTCCAGGCTGCACTCGTAGCACGATGTGATCGTCGGCAGAATGACGCGCGCCTGGCCCTTGAAGCCCTCGGTGCCGCCGTCGATGAGCGGCTTGAGCGACTCGGGGTCGTCGGAGTCGACCAGGTTGACCAGGGTCGCATTGATCCAGCGGCGCGCATCGACCTGGTCGCGGAGCGGGGCGCCGCAATAGCGGCGACGACGGTGGTCAGCATGCGGAGTCGTCCTGGCCCGGTCGCGACGTGGTTCCGGTTCGCACTCACCGAGTCGAGGCCGCAGATGACAATGTTGAACTGCATGTAGAAGGCGTCGTCCTTGTCCTGGATCTTGCCGTGGAAGCTATTGGCTCGTGCGGGGAGAAGTAGAGCCGTGCCGCGGTCAGCGCCAGCGTCCCATGGCGATACGCTCGAGGGCTGCATGGCGGCGGCGTCGTCTACTCACGGCGTCACCTTGACTCCCGGCACCCGCTTCTCGACAAACTCGGCCGCCACAGTCGCCTTTGGCCTGCCCACGTCGCGCTCGCTGAAGTGTGCGTTGGTGAGCACCGGAGCAGGCAGAGATGCGGCGATCAGCGCTGAGTAAGAGGCGAGGCCGAAAGGGCACCCTACGCGCCGAAGTCCGCACCGGCAGCGCAGTACTCACCGGAAGAGGAACTGGCGGTTAAGATTGGACACGTCGATGGTGTCCATGTCGATGACGTGTATGTCGCGAAAGCCCGAGAGGGCGAGGTTGGAGAGGATCTCGCATCCGAGACCGCCGGCGCCAATCACAAGGATCTTGCATTGGTCGCGGAGAAACGACTTGACGCTGGGCACGGGGCGGTGTGCAGACGGGGAAGGAGGGCGGGCGAAGTGATGTCGGGTCAGGCCGTCGTCCCCGACTGCCACTCAAAGCATGTAGCCCGACCTACTTACGTGGTGCCGGCCTGGAATGCTTCGTCGGTGTATGCTGCGGAGTGAGAAGCGAGGGCAATGGGCAGGCGAGGAGATGGCAGCGATCAGACAAAGGGCAAGGAGGCCAAGAGACAGCGAGAAAATGGGAGGCAGTGGCGGTGGCGGAGGCGCTCGAAAGGAGAGAATGATCTGGACAGGGCAAATGCAGGCTCAAGGCCATAGAGCAAGCCTCGCAGGATATCCAGGGGGAGAGCGAGGTGCACTTACGGCCTGGCCGATCGAGAAGCTTGTCGACGTGGGCGAACCTTGCCGGCCAGTCGGTCGAGGGTCCTCCAGACGATGCGCTAGCGACAGCCAGGTCGGCCATGGCGGGCAGTGTTGAGCAGGGAAAAGGAAGCGAATTGCGATGCGAGGCTGTGCTCGAGGATCGAGGCGATGCTGAGCCGGACCGAGACGAGGTGACGGTAGAGAGAAGAGGTCGGCTCGAAATCAGACGAGATGAGCCGTCTAAGCGTCCGTTGAGAGGAGGTCGAAGAGGCCGAGGGGCCAAGAAAAGAGGCCGGCTAGGTGATGGCGAGAAGGCCGAAGAGGAAGCTTGCAGCGAGACGGGTCGAGTCCGACGAGGGTAGCAGTCTTAGTAGCAGGCAAGGCGCGGGGATGCTGGTGGAAGGAAGGCTTTCGGATCAGCCGCCGGCTGGTCCGCTTTCTCGGAGCTCGGTCGTGGCGCGGGCGCTGGCCAAAAGGCAGGCGAGCGTTTGACTCGCCAGCCAAAGTGGAGGCTTGCCCGCCCGCCCACACGCCAGCCAGCCAGCCAGCAGGCCCGTGCGTGCGCTTTCAGCCTCACCCGGCCGCTCCTGGCGCCGGTCAAGGAGAAAAAGAGAGATCGGGGCCACCATCGTTTGGAGACTCGTCCCCGATTTGAACTTCGAATCGGGTCTCGGCAGCAAGGCGTGCCTGCCAAGCCCGACTGCCCGCGCCAAGGCCAGAGGCAGGGACCCCCATGCGCACTTTCCCCCCTCCGCCGGCCAGCATCTCGTTCCCCCGCAATCGGCTGTTTACATCAGATAGACGGGCAGACAGGCAGACAGATGGAGGTGGGGTGCGGATCTATGGAGAGCGCGCCTGCTCTGTTGCTGCCTTGCTTTGCCTTTGTCTTGTGGCCAACGGCTAGTGGACCGACCGCGCATTCCTCTGATCACACGAGCAGATCCGTCCCGCGTGGTCGTCTGTCCCTCTCTTCAGCGCCTCTGTGTGAGATGAACGCGTCGACGAGACGGCGGGCCCACGTCGTCTCCTCGCCGTCGAGATCCAAGGACGCTCGGCAGACGGGAGAGGCCTGGCCGCAGCAGCGAGCGCGCTCTGCCTCTCCCGTGCCCAGACAGCACCGCTCTGCCCACCAGCATGGCTTGGCAGCTACCGGTACCTCCTCCCGCTGGTGCAACACCAGCAGACCAGCGCTGCTCCGACACACGCGTGATCAGCTGAGCAGTCGGTCTGCGACGCCAGCTTGACGCAAGCAGGGGCAAGGGGCAGGGGTGGACTGGGCCAGGAGCAGGGACAGAGGCACAGAGCCTGGTCGCCTCGACGCGGATGCGTGCGTGTGGGGTGCGTGTTTGGGCTTACCTCGTCCGCCTCTATCTCTTGGCGCTGTCGGATATGAGACTCCGCTTGGTCTTGCCTGCCTGCTCCGAAGCCGGAGCAAGAGCCCAGCGGGCCAGCACGCGGCCGACACAGAGGCATGGGCTCGGGCGCGCGGCCAGGCCTGGCACAGTGCCCATTCGGGTACAGCCTCCCGGGGACCCGCCCAGATCTTGGCGGGATCGCCGAAGCGGAATGGAAGCGTCGGTCGAAGCTTCCGCACAGGGAACCGCCTGCCTGCTCGCTCGACTCATCTCTGAAGGCTGGCTCAGAGATCGACAAAGTCTCGCGCAACTGCTCACGTTTGGCTTGCCGTAGCCTCTCCTTGATCGACGCGCCGATTCCACACGCCAGCTGAGGCTGGTTGTTGACATCGACGACAAGGCAGGTTGGCGCCGGCCTCTGGCCTGCGTGTCGACGAGTAGTAGTGTGCAAGGAACCAGGCAGGGGCGTGGGAGAGAGTCCAGACCGGGCCTCGCTTCCGAACCCGACGCATCGACATCCGGTCCGCTTCGGCTCCTGCCTGCATCTGGCATGCTGCCCTGCGCTGCTTGGTGATCAGCGCAGCGCCAGGCAGACAGGCAGGCGGGCAAGGTCTGCTCGCCCGAGACGCACCGGGGCCGGTCGTTGGGACGCCATGATCGACGGGGACAGCGCGTGACGGCAGGGCCAGGCTGCGGGGCCAGCATTCCGTGCAGCATTCCCGAACGTCGAAGATCCGATGGGGGGCAGCGACGGGCGGCGACGGCGGCGGTGGGTGTTGACTGATCTGCAAGCTCGACCCGACGCGAACAGCGGCAGATTCGATACGGTACCGGCACGGACCGACCTCGGGATGGCACTACGCTGGAGGCGGGGCTGGCGTCGACGCACGTCGAGCCAGACTGGCTTGGCAGATGGATCTCCCAGTAGGCAGGCTGCCTCGCGGTAGCTGTGCGGAAGACCGGCTCTGGCACCTGACCCTTCGCGACCGCTCACTCGCCGACTCCAACGTCTTCGGGCCGAATCGAGAGCGCAGACAAAAGGAGCGCGAAGAATCAATCTGAGCCGTCCATCGATCACAAAGGATAGGTGGTGTGTCCAGATATGCGGGATGAGACTTCGCCTCGCTCCGACCGGGAGACGGCGACGGAGCCGGCTCACCTTTCGTCGCAGACTCGTCGCAAAAACGGACGGTGGAAGTCCGGAGGCCTCGAGGCATACGCACGCACGCGCCGCTTGTCTATCTCTTCCTTGCTTGCTTGCCTGCTGGCTGTATGGCTTGCCTTCTGCGAGCTCTGTTGAGCTGCCAGGGGTTCCCGCGTGCGTGCGTCTGCAGCCGCCGGGTGGCTTTGACCTGCGCAGCCTGCCGTACAAGCGCGCGTCGGGCGACGTGGTGAGGGGTCCTTCAGCCGACGCCCGATACCGACCGAAGCGTGCCTGCTTGCGAGGTGGCGGCAGGCAAATGCTTTGTCGACCTGTCGTACATAAGCCGCCGCGCCTGGGGCTGCGTCGGCAGCATTCCGCGCGCGCCGCCGCCGATGGTCGAGGGTTGCCACGGCGACGTCAAGCAGCGTAAGCACGCGCGGTGACGACGAGCAGTCGGGGGCCGCCAGGCATGACCGCAATAATATCTGCAGGCCACGACGATTTTCGGCAGAGATAGAGCTCGTGGCGATGCGTAAGGTCGTCGGAGCCTGCCGCCCAGGATCGGGCCGATCCGCCCCCAGCGAGCAGCGACGACCCCCAGCTTAGGCAGGCCAGGCCAGGCCAGGCCAGGCCGATCGGCAAATCGCGGCGGAACAGCGCGCAGAAGACAGCCGGAGTCGGGGCGTCGAAGCACGAAACCGGTCGCGACTTGGACGGCCCTGCCAGCCAGCGTCGACGTGCGCTGCTGTGCTTATTGTGCTGTGCTGTGCTGCACTGCGCTCTGCCCACTGTACCACTCTGGACGCGCCGGGATTCCGGGTACGGACCTCTCTCTTGTCGTGGCGTGCGGCACGAGCAGGGCCGAAATGGAAAGTTCCTGCCCGCCTGCCCGCCTGCCCGCCTGCCCGCCTGCCCGCCTGCCCGCCTGCCCGCCTGCCC